GACAAGCAATTGTCAGATGTCAGCAGTGTTTTGATAAGTTTTTTGATCTCCTTTTTTTATTTGCATTCATAAAATGAGGCTGTCCACATGACACACACTTTGGTTTGGACATGGCTAGAGACTGACATGGAGGCATTTCCCTCCAATTGCTCCCATCTTCAGTCAGGAGATGAGGCTCGGGGAGTGAAACAAAGACGATATGGATTTTTGAGTAAATGAGCTCTGACTTAGCTTGGGGAGGAAAGAAAACCTGCAATGTCATTGCACACATGCACAAAAGCACCATGCACTGAATATGATTACAACCTACATTTGCACCTCCTTAGTCTTTCCCATCCAAGCAAACTCGTTTTTAAATAGCCTCTGCATCTTTAAATCTGTCTGTTATTTAAAGTTTACTGTATAAATGTGCAAGAGAAACATGGATATATTAGTAGTGTTTAAAAATAAAATGATAGAAACAAATCAAAATGATGTAGCCATGCTTCCTCACTACCATACTGTACCCCCCCACACACACACACACACACACACACACACACACACACACACACACACACACACACACACACACACACACACACACACATACACAGACACACTAATTATCATTTTAAAGTAGAGGCAGGGTTTGAAAGTGCAGATTACAAAGGTCTCTTCAGAGGAGAGCAGAGAAGTGCTGTAGAGCTCAAATGTTCTCCAGCTGTGTGGCTAAGCTCTGTTAGAGGGATAAGATGAGCCCCTCTCAATGAGAGATAAGTAGCAGAGGTCAAACAGTAAGCTCAATGAGTTTTGTCATACTTTTCACACTTCTATATCCTCAGACAGCTCTATATGAAGGTCCTCGACCCTCTTAATGCAAATACATGACTGTACTCCAGAAGAGTATTTTCTTTTTTTCCCCCCTCTCCTCTCCCCAGTTTAATGGATCACTCTTTGGAGTCATCTTCTCGTGCAGAGGGTGCATTACAAGATATTTATTCATATTCATAAAATGCCAATTTAAAGCTTGCGAGTGGCCATAGGAGATGAGCAGGGAACTTGCAAAATCCAATAAGAGCTGCTTTGGAGACAGGTGCAAAGCGGACTAATTAATAGCAATCTATACTCTGGCCAGGGCACGCAGTGGGCCGACTAAGACACTCTTAGGTCGGGCAATGAAAAGATAGCAGCTCCAAATTCATTTTCTCACCGTGGCTCTCCCAAGAGAAAGCTCCCAAGTACACTCACACTTCTTTTAATGCCTGCACTGGGGTGTAATTTATTTTTGCGTTTGCCAGCACATTTGGAAAGTTCATTACTTCGCTCATGGCTTGTTAATTAGCCTTGTAAAGCCGCCATTAGATCTCCTCGGGCCAGGACCGAGATGAGACTTTTGTCCCAAAACATTAACACACTGCAGGAGGCCTGTAAAAGTGCACTCTGCCCATTTACGTCGTAACAGTGACACCTCGGTGAAAATGTGAAAGATGGAGGGACAATCAAGGCAAAGTCACGTATGCTCTGGACTGGCTGTTGCTTTGGTTTCACCTTTGCTGCCACGGACAGAGGTCGGGCTCATTTCTCTCTAACACCTGTTCAGGGCTGACTTTACAGCTTCAGAGCTTCTCTGCTGATGCTCAATATCCAGTTAGATGTCTGTCTACCTGGCTGTCTTTTTCTAAACCCAAGTCGACGGTATAAATGGCTGTGTCAGTGGTGATCTCCTCTGGGTTCTCGCTTACTTCCAACCTTGGAGCTCCAAGGGAGGAGGAGCAGTAATGAGCAGTAGTAGCAAGCTCAGCTGGCAGGTTGGAGAATACCTGCTGTGTGAGGCGTGACTACAGGAACACAGACTGACACCATAGCTACAACACCAGCCCAAGAGACCAGGCAGTCTGGCCTTATTGATTATGCAGGGGCTCATTTGTGTGGCCAAGCGGGTAGCAGGCACGTGTCCCATTTGAACTTTACAGGAATGGAACAGATCCGATTTACCTACTGCAGAAAGGAAGACCTGATGCTTTATTTTTTATAACAGCTGCGTCTAATGGAGCCTGGCAGGTACAGGAGGCGTCACATCTGTCGAGGCCCAGGTGATGATCTCACCCTCCGCTCCTTCCCGCTCCTAGCCCCATTCCTGACCAGTCAAATGACTCACACAGAAGATCAACAGTGTCATTCCCAATAAACTCTTCTTCCCCTTCCTGCCACTTTCCATCAGTTCCAGCGATAGGTTCTTGCTAGTAGCCATTTCATTCCACAACACGGCAGAATAAGGGGATGCATAATGTAAAAGATTCAAGGAAGATGAATGCTCTGTCTAATGCCAGGGCACGCAGAAGATTAATTAGAGAAATCCAGCCTTTTCACTTGTCAAAATGTAGAGGTATGGAGCCATACATCTGAGTCAGAGTGCTCCCCTCTGGAGTTTAGAAAGGAAAGGACATAAAGTGTCAAAGAAGAGGCTTGTAAAGGTAGAGTTACTGTTCAGACTTTATGAGCAGCAGCACTGCTACTCAAATACTGAACTGCATTTCATTCCATTGTTTGGGAAATTTGGAAATGCCACAACATTTAACCCCTTTAAATTACTGATTTAGCAAACATTGAGATTTTGAAATGGGGACTGTGTTTTCTCTATCGGTACACATACAGTGAGGGACGATTCAAATCGGTGAAATGAAAAATTAATTGGGATTCATTATCTAAACACATTTTAATAAAGCAACTCTTATCATGTGCTGTAAACTGTGTAACTTACACCCTTTCCAAAATCATGAACAACCATGTTGGGAACCCAGCATCGTGAATCGCATCACGAGTTGGGTAAATCACTGCATAGCCCACCCTGAAGAAGATGTTGTATACGTGGCATATGTTGCTCCAAAACTTGTATTAATGATTCTGCATTAATCTAGTCTTCTCAAATGGAGGTTACTCGTGCCATGTACTCGAACAACCTCCATATTATCACATGCTGGTGTTAGAACTGAGTTCTGATAACAAGTTGAACAGTCCCTCTCCTCTGAAAACCAAGGATGTGGCATCCATAACAGAATTTCAGATTTTGACTTGTCAGACCAAAGGACAGTTTTCCTGTTCATCTCAATCCATTTTAAATTTCCCTGGTTCCAGAAAAAACCTGAACATTCCTGGATGTAGTATATATACGGTTTCCTCTTTGCGTGGTAGTTTCAGGTAGCGCACAGAATAATGAACAGTGTAGACAATAGCTTCTGGATGTTCTTGAGCTGATGCAATGATGTCCACTGCAGAACAGTGTCTGTTTTTAATGCAGGGTCGTCTGCTGGTCTGAAGATCACAGCCATCCATTTTCCTTTTACCCAGCATACAGATATTTTTTAAGATTCTCTGAATCGTTTAATGATATTATGTACTGCACACAGTAAATTATATCGAATTGTTCAGATACATTTTTCAATTGTTTCACAATTTTCCAGCCTGATCCTTTGAAGCTTCCCCATCTTTACTTCAGATGGACTCTCTGGGACGCTCTTTTTATTACCAGTTATGGTATTAACCTGTTGCCAGTAACCTATTTAATTGTGAGGTGTTCCATCAGGTTTTTTTAAGCATTTCACAACTTTTCCAGTCTTATGTGGACACTATACCAAATATTTTAAAACATGTTGTCGGCATCAGACAAAGATTGGGCAAATAATTATCCAAAAACAAAAGCATTTTTCAGTTCCAACAGTTGAAATGATATATTTGCACTATTTTCACTTAAAAACTATGTTTCAATATTTTGCAAATCATCACATACTGTTTTTATTTACATTTTACACAACACCCTAACATTTTTTAATTAGGGGATGTTACACTGATTTTAAGTTATCACTGTCTTATCGAGTAAACATAGCCACTAACACATGGCCAGTAGAGAGTCTATCCCTCTCCAACTATCTTTAGCCTTCTTTTGTTGACAGAATAAAATAGTCTATAAAGCAATTTAACCACTTGTTCCATTGAAATATTTAGCCATGAATTCAAGGTTTGTCATTTTTTTTAAATTAAAGCCAAGAAAGGTACATCTGATAGTTTTCCTCGATGATATGTTTCGCAGTACTTCCTGCAAACACCTGTCCTCATCAATGGGTGTTGGAGATAATAGGCCTCAATCATTGTTATATTGGTAATGTTTGCATGAAATAAATCATATTTACCCTTCCCCTTGAATACAACTTTAAGCCTTAAGCTTGTGAGCAAAAAGGTGGGGGGGGAATTATTTTCACTCAATTGCATTTTGTGAATACAGCAATATTTGATTTGTTTTTTTTTATTTGTGGCAATAATTGAAGTATGAAAATGACAAATTCCATGAACCATGGCCAGATTATTATCTATAAACAAATTTACACTGAAAATAGTACACAGGAAGTGGAGCAGCTGAGCTAAGGTTTAATATAAAACCTATACACATTGGCTAAGATACTGTTAAAACGTCTTTCTTTTCTAAGGTTTAAAATGGATAGAATGTGATGTACTCTTACTTATTAAAACTCCTACTCCCTTTGGTGATGAGAAAATGTCCTACCAAGTTCTTCTTCCATGTTCTCTTTCAACTCAGTGAATTTGAGCTTCAGGACGATCCAGCAGTTTGTCTATCCGTGCAAAATATGTCTGCTCTTTTTCTACCTTTTCCCCAATCTCACAGCGCTCCAAATATCATCATCAAACGTCACTGTGGCATACTTGAATAGCTCACTGGTAACAGGAATATATCTCCCTCATAGCAGGGTGGGGTGGCACGCCACACAGCAGTTAGATCAACAACAACAACAGCAGCAGCAGCAGCATCGGCTCAAAACAGCCGACTGCTGATAAAAGGGCGGGTGGGGGTGAGGGTGGGGGGAGTTCCTCTCAGCTCAGCAGAACGGTGTGATCAGCTGTAGAATTTTGTCTGTTCTCTTCTCTCTTTCACCCTCCCTCCCTCCCACCCTCCTTGCTTCCTTCCCTCGCCCCTTCACTTCACTCCTTCCTCTCTTCCTATCCAGAAGACAGGAAGCTGTTTGTGGGAATGCTCGGCAAGCAGCAGAGCGAGGACGACGTCCGGCGGCTGTTTGAGACCTTCGGCCAGATCGAGGAGTGTACTGTCCTGCGAGGGCCTGATGGGGCCAGTAAGGGTCAGAGCCCACACACCTGCCACTCTTTTTTCCCCTTCTGTCCCTCTCAATCCCTCTCAATTTATCTGTCTGTCTTACTGGTGGTCTTCTGTCTTTCTATCTTCTCTTTATATGTTTGGAACCATGCTTCAGCCGCTCTTTCTTATCGACATCGTCTGAGCTCCGCTCCTCTGAATAACTCATCCTCCCCTTCAGCTCTTCTTTTTTTCCCCATCACCTCTTATGTGCCTCGCTCGCATTTCTTTCTTTCATACCTCATTGTCACTGTGCTCTGACACCTCCCCCTTCCCACTTTCCTTTTCTCACTACTTTGTGCATTTCACTTCCCTTTTATCTTTTCACTCCAACTCTCCTTTCTCTCATTTTATTGTTTCCTTCCAAACTCCCTTTTCTGTTCTTTCTTCATCCCGGCAGCTCCTCTCACCCTGAGCTCGTATACTCAACAGATCCATCATGCAACACGTCGTCTTTTATTTCCTTACCACTCTCTTTCTTCTCATCCAACTCTTCCTGTTATCTGAAAAGCTGAGAGGTTGTAATCATGTTTGTTTCTCACATTCCCGTCATACCTCCCCGGGGACGCCATTGGATGATGATGTCCTTCTGTAAATAAAGCGGCCAGGCTCTGTTTTTTTTTTTTGCGCTGCTGTCACTCACCGTGCGGCAGATTTGCCTGCATTCAGGAACAGCTTATGCATTCAGTTCTGTGGCTTATGTGCAATTAAGTTAGTAGAGCGTGCACAAATATGAAATGTGTGATGCAGGTGGGATTATTCTGAGAGTGCAGGAGTCTCCCCATTATCCTTTGATGGGTTTCTGTCTTATAGCCATATTTAGAGCGATAATGCCAATGATATTGCTCTGAACCTTTACCTTCCTCTCTCTCTGTGATTTATTCTCTCATACGAAGTGTGTGAATGTGAGAAAAGGATGTGTGGGAAGGCAAAGCCTGCTGAGTATATCGAAAAAGAAAAGACGGCTATACCCAACCACATGCCTATCTGTGTCAACATCTGTTCCTCTCACTGTTAATCCCGGGTCTATTGCACCGCGTCGCCCCAACAGCCCACTACCTTTTTTCCTCACCGGCTTGTTTCCTCTTTTCCCTCACCGGCTCGCTCTCTTCTTGTCTGCTCAGAAGCCTCCATCTGATTGACAGCACATAAAATGAAATCAGGCCTGTACTGTTGTATCAGACAGGAGCTAGTTTTCTCCCACATTCTCGCCTTCACTCGTTTTCGACCCTCCTGCACCCCTCACTTCATTCTTGTGTTTTTCTTTTTTTCCCTTTCTCACATGCCATATGTTTCCTGTGTTCGGTATTTGCTCAATCACATTTTTTCATGTTTTCTCTGCTTTGAAATGGGGAAAGTGTTAACTAGGAATTGTACCAGCAGACAAAGGTCTCATATATAGGTATCTAGTCCTATCACTGTCTGTGCAACAGTCCCATGTAATCATTACAGGATGTTACGGCAAATTATTTTGCCAGCCTCCTCGCTTGGGATGAGGCTGGCGTAATTTGAATGAGACAGACCTTGAAATTGACGGTGCTATCTGTTCCATGATGGAGGCTTTGTCCCCTGTTGATGTAAATTTATGCTACTCAGAGGCTTTTCAGCACCCCTCTTCACCCAATAAAAAAGGCCGAGAAGTTTAACATCCATCTCTCTATGGCGCTGCTCCTCAAAGTACTTTTAAAGTGCAACACTTGCTGCCAGAGTTGAATAGAGCCCTGAATTGTCAGGAAAAATAGAGAGATGGCTTTTAGGTCTATAATTAAGTTGTGTTATAAATGTCACCCATCCAGCGGGATGGAATTCATGCATACATATTATTACCCCGGGAATTCAAAAGGCAGTGCAGATCCTCTCGCTTGAAAGCAATACAATCTCTCTTTTTTCCTTTTCCCCCCCAAACTCATTCTGAGCCATCAAATTCAAAAACTCAAATGTGCACTATAATTTATGAGGCTTTGGCACTTCCAATTCTTTTGAGATGATGTCTGCTGTGTCCCTTAATATTTTTTTTTGTAGTCCAAGAAAAGCAAAGCTACAGCATTGATGTTTTTGGGGTGGAGAAATTTGAGGACATTGTTCTTTTGACATGACTTTGGCATTGATGGTGTGCGCCAAGCCCTGCAGTTTTAAGGTTTTTTTTTTTCTGGTGGAGCAGAGCTGCCAGGGCCACTGAGTCTCTGGCACAATATCTGAAAACCCTTGTTAGGGAAACAACAGCAAGTTGTGTTGCCTTACAAAACCAAGAGGCTTTTCCAAGAACAAACTGCCCATTATTATCTCAACTACAAAGGTTAAATGCATTTGTTCCTTCAAAGGCAAAGCTGCAGTCAAATGGTACACAGTGGGCAGACGCATTTCAGTCGGACAAATGAAGACCTTTCCTGCCTTCACCCAGAGGGCTGTTCAAGTGAAGTAAAAGGGTTTTAAAGTGCTGTGACAGAATCAAAGGCTTTTTTTTTTACTTATCTGTTTGCCTCTGTAGAGCTGTACAGCTTCATGGACATTTGACGGTACAGAAAACACATGGCCTCTACTACTCGTCACATGTCAGCTTCAGCATAAAAATGGTCAACCAAATGATTGTGCACATACTGCATTTCCCTCTGTTAAATCTTTTTTGGTTGTTTGGGAAGATGTGCCTCTTAGGATTTAGAAACGAATGGATCCATTCCTGAGCCCACCAATCAGTGTTTGTAATTAAGACAAATCATTCCCAACTACTTTGAAAATATAGGGTAAATGAATATACACAAAAGGAGTTACTGTTTTAAATAGCTATCAGTAGTTTTTAAGAAACCATGGGATTGAACTCTAAAAAGCCTGTCTCCCTCGAAGACACTGGAGCTGCTCAGCTAATGAAAAGAGGACAGAATTAATCCATGAGTTTGTTAATTAGGTATCTCTTGACTTAACACATGAGCTACCTGAAGGCAAGGATAAGAATAGGACATAACAGAATACCTCGTGAAGTCTCTGACGACCATAAAGCTTAGAGAAATAGCTCCTGTTTAATTTAATAGCTTTTGGAAAATCACCACCTTTTACTTCCACTGTATTTCAGTTCACTTCATTTCTCTTGATGTTTTAGTGGTTTAGTGCCTGCCCTAACCTACACACAGATACACTATTTAATCATATAGTTAGACTATGTACTGTAACGTTGTAAAAAAAAACATATTGTGCTTAATTATTATGAGCTACTCAAATCATTTGAAATGTTAATGCAATGAGGCTCCAGAACACTGCTGCCAACAGCCGCTCTTTTGTCTCCCCGCCAACTTTCTATGTTGACTTCTCCTTTTGTGCACTAACCACACAACAGATTTAAGATGGTTTGGATGCCCTTTGAGCAAAGCCCCCCCCCCATCTGAAATTATACATGAGCAGAGATTCGGTTAGATAGGCAGATTATAATACTATGCCTTTGTCATCATAATCTCTTTTATGAGTGACTGCACACAAATCACATTGTGTAAATATTAAACAGATTAATAATCACAAACAAGTCAGGGTAGTAAATGCCTTGGCTGCATGCTCCAAAGTGTGTGTGTGTGTGTGTGTGTGTGTGTGTCTGGAGGGGGGGGGGGGGGGGGGGGGGGGGGAGGGGGCACAGTAAGAAAGGGGCGAGGGACAGGATGTTCCATGTAGTTTATGCCTTTGCTACAATTAGACTGATTTATTCAGAGTTATGCGCTGAACAAACACATGGCAGAATATATTTACAAACTAGATTACATGAAAGTAATGGTTATAAATGCCCCCTCCCCACCCACCCATATTCAATGCAATCTCCCTGATGTTGTGCCCCTCCCTCTTGTTCTTCTTGTTTTCTGTGTATGCAGGCTGTGCCTTTGTCAAGTTCTCCAGTCACGCAGAAGCACAGGCTGCCATCAACAGCTTACATGGTGGACAGACTATGCCTGTAAGTACACACTCACTAACTGTTGTATGTGTTTTCTCACAACAAAATCAACTTACGATCAGGACTAAAAATGCATTAGTAAAGCCTACTTTCAGATTTATGTCAATGCAGTTGCACAAAATTACACTTATTATCAAGTGGACAGTTTTAGAGATGCGTGCTGTAAGTTGGATGTGTATCATTTCAAGTTGTTGGAGGTGGACTGGGATTAAGTTTATAGTAGTACTAGTTCACTTTTTGATTTTGTTTTCTGCCCCACAAAAAAAGACCAACTCAGTATTCCCTTTAAATTTTCTATTCTACTGCACCAACCGAATGGGTTGTGCCTCTTTTTGTTTCTCAAACATGTTAAGAAAAGTCATAGGCATAAACATTATTAACATATATGAGAATATTAAACATTTATGGATGTACCCATTTCTTCTGCTGTGTAATGCATACATTTATAAAAACACAGACCAAAAAACATGCCATCTCTGTCGTGTCTCTTCAAAGCACATTAACAGTCCACACTAACACAGAAACATTCTCACTGTGTGTTATCGCACACAAAAGATTCCTGCAGTCAGCATCCGCCACCTCACAGCACACAGCTCCATGCTCGCTATCTGTCTTTTCCCTCAATATCCATTTCCCTCGCTATGTAGATTACCTTTAAAGCAGACAGATAGAGTGTTTACATTCACACTCTTATAAAGATATGATTACTTTGCACTGTACATGAATCCTTGAATTTGTCCTTAGGAGGCGTTATGCTATGACTCTACTCTCTGCAAGCCCAACACAGTCGCAGCAGATGGCTGTTTAACATGGGTCTGGTTTTGCTCAAGGTTTCTGTCTGACATTTTACTGCCACTGTTGCCCCATGCATAACTCATGGTGGATTAATATTGGGTCTCTGCAACAATACAATATATAGGCTATTACTGTCTAGACCTGCTCTAGTCTTGAGATAACAGACAGTATGTTGTGACTTTGCACTATGCAGTTGGCTTACTTTTAAAGTTGGCAATGAAGACAGACAGAAAGGGGAGAGAAAATAGGGTTGTTTAATTGGGTGATTTCCATTTTATGTGCTGTAAGATTAGAGTTTAATTAATTTAATTCACCCCTTTTGATTTGATTATTTCACATTATATTGATCAATGCAGAAACAAGCTCTTAATGCTGAGGAAACTACAGACAAAACAGGTACAGAGTTTTGAGTCATTTTTCATGGTATGGTCCTACAACCGTGTGCACCTGAGAACGTAAGGGCTGTGCACGAGGTACCCTGTTGGCCATTTTGATTAAGCTCTTAATGCTCTTTGAGCATATCTGTGTGATATAGCAAATGCATTAGCTTACAATTCCCCTACTTGCGTTGGCAGAAGAAGCCACCTGATGACAGTAAATCCAATGTTCACTGACATCATAGTTTTCTATTAGTTTACCAAGATCAATAAGAAAGAGAGAATTTAAGTTAATAAAGTAATGCATTAAGTGAATAAGGGTAACAAGAGGAAGGTTATGTTATACACAGCAGGTTTGACTATTTTTGAGGGGAAAATTGCATTGTAAAAAGTTAATAGTTTTAACAACTTTCTGAAACTGTTCCAGCTGTAATAAGTGTAAAATATGTGGCTTTACATTTGGAGATAGTTACATGGTGAAGCAATTGAAGATATACATATGTTATCAGCATAACAGTTACACTTTTGTGTTTGCTTTAGACAGGTCTAGGTAGGATAAGCGTTGATATTCTGGTATTTTCTAGAGGAGGTTGTTTTTTTAAGGTAAACAATGTCTTCAAGACAAACTGCATGTTCTAAATTGCAATGAGCCTGTGCCCAAGTGACAGATAACACACATGCAGCAAAAGATTTCTTAATATGGATGGGCTAAGGGGATTTAAGTCACAGTCTCTTCTCACAATAAAATCAACGTGTCTGATAAACAGCTCATCATAGCCAATGTAGTACCATTGACAGTTTGAACCCTGTCAGGGGGCTATTTTGCTGAAGAATATTAAATATTTAAAAACACTTGAAAAACACTTATCAAGGGAGGCTTCATTACAGTGAATGGAAGGAAGGTTAACACGTTAGTCAATAATATTGAATAGCACCCGACAGTTAAGATGAATCTTCTTAATCAGGTCAGATTAATAAACCATGTTTGCTTCCTTGACTGCTTCCTGAAATTTCAGTATCCTGTCCTTCATAACACTATGGGACACTTGTAGCTTATCAGCTTTCCAATAACTCATGACATTTATTCTTCTTGCAGACTGGGAAATTCATCTTGATGGTGTTTAATATTGTTCAGCTATTATAAACCTACTCAGCCCAAATGTAAATCAGACTGCATAAGCGCTTGCTGCCCTAAAAGCTCAAGGTTTTTGTACAACATTTATCGACCATTACACAGGATGTCAGCAAATACGGAATCACTCTGGTCAGTGTGGGCTGTTCCACACTGCCTCATAGTCGGAAATGAGCTTTGAATATAATAAACAGTAGTTGTGAAATAAATGACTAAGCATAAGTTAGTGTTGATTTGTTTAGTTGTAGAATGAAGCCACCAAACCTGCAACTATTTTCAATCTAAAGTTAATTATGAATTGGGTATGCTTCTGTCGGGCTTGAACAAGGCCACCGAAAAGGCTTAAAAAAGATGATTGACGAAGCACCTCCCGGCCGGTTCTGTGAGCTGTGCAGCTGGACACACACACAGAGCACACACTCCTCCTGGCAGACATCCGCACCTTCACACACTTCACTGATGTTCCGCAATAAATATTTACAGACGCTTCCTGGCAGCCAGATAGTGTCCTGGAAGCCAGATGTAATTTACACATCTTTTTGATGCCGCCTCTATTTGCATTACACTGAAGTGAGGAAGGGGAATGAGTGGTAGAGTGGCTCTCTATTTGTGTGTGTGGTTGTTGTGCTCAGTGGAGACCAAACTTTTTGGCATGTAAACCACAAGGGTCAAAATTTAATAAGCAGTGGGCCGTGAGCCGAAGAATAATCCTCTTGCACACTCATCATAGACAGTGATGTCAGGCCTCTGCTTGAAATTTGATTCTAATCAAGATATTTACCTTCTACTCAAACTATCTTGTTGACTCAATCAACAGAATATGTTTACTTCCAGAAGATTTACATAATTGGGGCTCATTGGGGCTGGCATTTTGCTTTCTTGCCGTATCAAAATTTGGCTTATGTGGACAATTTGTGCACACCTTGTATGTTAGTTTAAGCCATTGACTGTATATAAAAGTGGCCAAAGTGTTTTATAATAATAATAAAAATAATAATAATAACAATAACAATAACAATAATAATAATAATAATAATAATAATACATTGGTTTTATACAGCGCTTTTCTGAAAACTCGAAGACGCTTTCACAAAAACATAAAACAATAAAACAAAACAAAAAACGACGAGGACAGTACAACAAAGAAGTAATGTGGGGGGGGGGGAGTTAGTGGTTGTAGGCAGTGATGAAGAGGTGAGTTTTGAGGGATTTCTTGAAGGAGGTGAGTGTGGGGGAGTCTCTAATGTTTTTTGGGAGTGAGTTCCAAAGGGTGGGAGTAGCAATGGAGAAGGCCCTGTCCCCCCAGGACCGATAGTTTGTCTGATATGGGGGGGGGACAGGAGGTTTGCATCCGCAGACCTGAGAGGGCAGGTGGGAGTATGTCGGTGGAGGAACTCAGACAGGTAGGGGGAGCCAGGTTGTGAAGGGCTTTGTAGGTGATGATGAGGAGCTTGAAGTTGATACACTGGGGGATGGGGAGCCAGTGGAGGTCATGAAGAACGGGGGTGATGCAGGAGTGTGTGAGGAGACGAGCAGCAGAGTTCTGGATGTATTGAAGTTTCTTGAGTGTTTTGGATGGTGATCCGTAGAGGAGACTGTTGCAATAGTCTAATCTGGAGGTGATGAATGCGTGGGTGAGAGTCTTAGCAGCTGAAAATGAGAGGGATGGGGGGAGGCGGGCGATGTTTCTGAGGTGGAAAAAGGCTGTTTTGGTGATGTGTTTGATGTGTTTGTCGTAGGAGAGGGTTTGGTCGAAGATGACATCAAGTTTACGGATATTGGGGGAAGGGAGCACTGTGGAGCCATCCATGGTGAGGGAGAAGTTGTTGGTGGATTTGATGAGGAAATTGGGACCGATGATGATGACTTCTGATTTGTCACAGTTGAGTTTGAGAAAGCTGGTTTGGAGCCAGGATTATATTTTTGTGATGCAATCAGTGAGGATTGAGTGAGTGGCAGGAGTGATGGCTTTGGTGGCGATGTGGAGCTGGATGTCGTTGGTTTTCAACTCAAGTCTACACAATAGGGATCAGCAGGTGGAACCACAGTACTGAAGTCTGCTTACCAAAACACACATTTAATTTACCAATAAAAAGGTCAGTACAGTCTACAGCAAAACAGAGTCTTGGTTGTGTTTGAAACAGACATTTACTGTTAGTCTTATTTTCATTTTTGTATTCATTTTTTTCAATGTATTGTATTTTTATTTATTTTTTTAGAATCACTTGTATTTCGATTTCATAGTTTGACCCATGTCTTATTTGTAAGTATGGAGGTGGCAGATTGTATGATGTATACTGCAGCCAGTCAGTAGGGGGAGCTCTCAAAGTTTTAGCGTTACTTTTTTGACCTGTCATGTCATCCATCTTATTGTAGAGTCTCTGGTTAAAACTCAGACATAGCTTTTATCCGTCTGGCTACAGAGCCACCTGAGGTCTACTGCAGACAAACTGGCCAAGTGCAACATATGGAGCCCCAAACAGACCTGGGGCAGATCAAGAGCCATCCAACTTCATTAATAATCAATATTATCCATATCTCTCTCCCTCTATCCCTGCACCTGTTATCCTCCTCTCCACAAATCCAACTTCCACTCCAGATTAATAGGCAAGGTGGCCATTAGTATCCAACTTAGGCTTGGGTACCGATGGGGGATGCAGTTAATTTGGATAATATCACTGCCACATGTCGTCAACAACAGACTAACAGGAGGCAGGATTCACAGAGTAGGCTGCTCAGCACACTGCCTGCTGCCAGCTGTGAGGTCTGGATGAACCTTGAACAAAGAGTTGTCTCTCACTCTCTCCCCGTGTCTCTCTCCCTCTTAATGTTCTTTCCGCAGCATCTGTGTTACCTGGCACACACACGCGTGCCATAAATAATACCTGCACCAAAATACGCTGGCCCAAAATGAAAGGCTCTAATGAAGCTTAAGGGCAAGGGGATGCCACCGAAGGGCATGCGCTGATAGATCGGGTCATAGCTTTAATTGATGTTTATTGCGGATTGCAGGTGCTTCCAAAATTAACTTAAAAGGTGATTGGGCGACAGAACAGGCTCTCTCACTGGTTCAGCTGTTGAACTACAGCAAGGCTGCAGAGGCACAGGTGGCAGAACTTCAAATGGCAGAGCCAGGGGCAGGCAGACAACACCCAGTAAATTGCAGACATTGTCATGTTCAGTGTCACAGCATGGCTGACAGGGTCTGTGGAGCTTGCCGATGTTGGCAGAAACAAGACAGTGCATGTGTCATACTATGGTTCTAGATTAATGAGAGATAAGACCAAGCCAGGGAGCATTGTCATTGTTGCACACAATTCATCAAACGCCACATGAAAGTGTTGAATCTTGTAGCTGACAGAGTACACAGAGTTTTGTGTATTTGCACTCGTCATGTATTGCTGTGAAAACTGTTATTTACAAAACGCCTTACAAGCCAAGTGAACATACCAGTATGAATGACAGTTTTCTTCGACGGTGTCGTTTGGCTTGATGCAGCATGCTCGATATCTGCAGCAGTATGTGGTGGACAGCCAGGCCAGACCAAGACAGCATCATCCAGTGCTAATGAGAGACAGTCCTCCCATGAGGCTAGCAGAGATGGAGCAAGGTTCAGAGAGTTGAATAAGAAGCCCACAGGGGGCTCATCCAATTACCAACAAACTTGTTATGGAGTTTTCAATTAATTTCCGACTGATTCTCGATTAAAACTTTTAGTCTGTAAGCCTGTAGAAACCTATAAAGCTTAGGAAAGTTTTGTTTCTCATTTGGTAGTAGCTTTTTGCAGAATAGGCGAGAACAGATCATTAATACGCTTTTCAAAGTGACAAGTTTTCCTCTCAATGAGTGTGTCGTTATATAACATTGCTGTAATCCTCTGAAGGAGATGAAAGACGTGTGTTTACCTGTTGTCACACACTTAACACCAGTGTCTTTGTGTCCCAGTAATGCAGTGATAAAAAGCGTAATTCCATTTCACTGCTGTAGTTCAGTTCTAATCCCTCAATTACTGTTGTGTATTTTTCCATCTACACATTTTGTGGCCCATACAAAATCCAATATAGGAGATTTTCACAAGTCAAGTGCGTTGTTCAAGAAATTAGATTAGTTTTTGAACCCGTGACAAATTCCTTAGTTGTACCTGTCAAAAGTGAAGGCTCCCTGTTGGCCCTTATCAAATTCAGTGAATTCATTTTCGCTCCAGGTACGGGAGTCGTGCGGGCAGAGGTTATTATTCTGTTTGTTTGTCAGCTTGTGCTTTTCTGCTTCCAGAGCGAGGATGCTGCCGCTTTGCATCCAGCGCCTATTGTCTGCTGCCACCTGTTCCTTCATTACCTGCACATATTGCTCTTTGTTTTATTAACAGAAACTTTTGATTTATCTGCCAGTGGATCACGGTCTGGAATCTGCCTTTTTTCTGATAAGGGATCTAGTCGGATTATATATCTACTTGATATGTGAAGACACGAAATCCACCTGTTCAGGGACAGGAAAATATATTTCATTTTCAAGGGGATTTTTTTGCGTTCAGGCTATGAAAGTCAGAAATGCTATGCTTTTACATGAGTGACAGAGCTGACAACACCTGCAGAGGATGTTGTAGTGCTTTAGTGAGAATGCCAAAGCCTTTCAGAGTAGAATTCTCAGACTTGGTCTCCTCCTGCGCTGTCGTCTACAGCAGAGCTCTCTGCTGCGAGACACTAGACCAGGCCAGACTCTTGAGTCATGGTGCAGTGGCTACAGGCAGCCTCAGGCTTTCACAGTCCCCAATGCATTCTTCATGAGGTATTAAATGAATGTAAGAATACACAGACACACAATGCAGAGAAAATGAATGTGATCTAAATGCCAGGCGCTCGTGCTGAAGGCAGGCTTGAGCAACAACGCTGGAGGAGGATGTTTGCTCAGTGCCGGCCTCATTAAGTCCAGCAGCCCCCATCCCTTCAACCAGCCCACAAAGTTGAGAAAGAACCGAGAAAGGTCAGGAGGTGGGATGAAATGAAATTAGAGAGGGAGAAATTGTGCCGTTAACGCCGCCATGTCCCGAGTATTGATTTAACTAATTGAAATGGCATCGAGGGAGAAACACCAGATGGGTCTCCTCTGGCCTGAGGTGGGTTGCTGGCTGGCTCTGATAGGATCCCATCTGAGACACTCTGTCCCCGGGGTCCATGTTGATGCTTTCTCCATTCCCTGGCCGGTTTCTCGCTGTTATCTACAGCCAGCACATTCTCTTGGAGGTGTTAATAGAATGTTATTAGACACTTTTCACATGGGTGAGTCAGAGCTTACTTGCAAAGCCACTGAAGGAGAACTTGTTTATCTTTTGAATTAAGAAAATGAAAATTTGGATAAGAAAAGAATGAGATAAAAAAAAACAGAAACAGAAGCTGAGGGAAGTATAGGCTTAGACATGCTGACTGATCATTAAGAATAAAGTAGAAAAACATAAAAAAAAAGTGTCAGGTTTTTGGCAGGATAAATATATGACAACATGTTACGTAAGATTTGTTGAAGCAGCTATTACTACCCCAACCCCAAAGCTGGAGACTACACTGGCAAACTGCCCTCTCTGTGGCGTGATCACTTAGCTGTCCCTGTTTAAAATTTCATGAAGTGTCTACAAAAATAGGACACACTATTTGTATGACTTACTATGAACTAGCATGAAATAAGGATGCACAACTGTGAGACAGAGAGTGTATTTGTTCAGTGGCTGAAAACTCTCTCTCACTGTGCAGTTGCATTATTCAGCTTCACAGGGCATTCGTTTGTTTGTTTCTCTGATTTTCTGTTTGGATAGCTCTGCTTTAGTAATGCCTCTCATGTAGGTAGCACTCAAGCTTAAACTTGAACCTGTGGAGAAGCTCCGTCTAGCTTTGTAAAATTCAATTTCTCACACACACAAAAAGAAAACAGGTGCATGGGGCATCACTCACACCGGTCATCCTCATCACTTTATGGCACTGTGTCCCCTGCTGTTCACTTACATTTTAGACTTGATCCCCCCCCCAAAGAAAAAATGTAAATCCAAATCAAAGTCTGAATTTGTTCTGACCCTGTCAGGATGAGACATTTTGTGAAAGATGAATCCAAGTTGTGATTATTAAGTCCTTTTCTCTGCATGTTTTTGCTTTTATGATCCTACTAATCATATCCTGACTGGCCCCTGGCTGCCTGTGTCCTTCTGTCCTGGTGCTGCTCCATGCTCTTTCCCAGCATGCACTGCTTGTAATTAAATAGGAGCCTGGTCCTCTTGACAGTATCTCTAGCTGCTTTCTCTGCCTGGCAGCTTCCTCATCCTCTCTTTCCGTATCTCTCTCTCTGTCTGTCTGTCTTTCACTCACTCACACACTCTCCCTCCATGGATGTCACAAAGGAACTGACTCTGGTCTCTGTCTCTCAAATGATTTAATTGGATGCAAACTCAGGAGCACAGACATCAATACAGAACTATATCTGCCATAAGGCAGAGCCATTAGTCAATACTTCACCCTCCACATGCCGAAGGCTTTTGTCAGACCTAATTACCCAGGACTGTATTCAGTGGAGCTTCAACAGTGGGGGACTTGGACTCCGGTGGGATCTGGTTAGGATCACAGTTCACTTCCAGTGTATACAGTTGAGTTTAAAAGTTCACCAAAGCAAATATCACTCACTATTCTCTTCCATTTATCGCTGACAGCTAAATGGCCGCAGTCATGGGAGGTGCACATTTCCTTTCAATGACTTACTGGACTTTTTATTGTAGGTCTTGAAAGCTGAATGCTGTGTTAACTGGATGCATCAGATGACAGAAATGAATCCCTTTGCTGACAATGTTTTCCTTGATCGTCATATGGAGACTCACAAAATATTGTTGACATGGAGTTGATTGGAAGCTGATCCAACTACACAATGAAAGATGCAAATGCAACAAGTTTGGAGATCTTTTTTTCTAAATGGTTAATATTTGGGTTAAAGTGAGATGATTAATGTTAAATGAGAGCATACATGTGCTTACTTGCAGTCAGACACACTGATTAGATCCATTCATTTTTTCAGGTACAAGATCAGTTATAGAATTGATGAAGTAAGTATGTATACAAGTTTTATAAACAGTGTGTTTTCAGTGCAAGTGTTAGTTCACCTTTACAATGAATACGTTCTTATTCAGTATTGGTCATTAAACACCAGCTCATGAACCGGATGGCCAGCTGAAGCGACAGGTGCAATCTGCACTTTGACTTAAAGTTACCGGCAAAGTTGCAAGAGCTAGTATTATAACTTTCTTGAAATTCTCACTGCCAAAATGTTTTTATTTTTTTTCAATTGGGGGGAGGGGCAGGGTATTTTTTGTTGTCTTTAGTTTATTTGGATTTTCAATCCCCAGGCAGCAATTTAAAAAAGTAATTATATGCTGCTAAGTCTTCATTAAACCACCATGTTTATCAAGACACATTTGAAAAATGCCAATTGAATAGTGGACCTTTCAGTAAAAACTTTTTGAAGTCCAGCAGCACATCCCACTAACCTTGCCATATATATGTGTCATTCCAGGGTGCCTCGTCCAGTCTGGTGGTCAAGTTTGCAGACACGGATAAGGAGCGGACTCTACGCAGGATGCACCAGATGGCGGGCCAGCTCGGCATCTTCAGTCCCATGACCATCCAGTTTGGGGCCTATGGCGCCTACTCACATGCTGTAAGTCTCAGCCCGGCGGGGGAGGAGACGGTGAGCTTTAAAAAAAGAAAACAAAAATTGTTATGATTTGAGGGTTTAACTCACAATCTCTCCCACTAGGCAAGTGACACTCCCAGCAAACAAGTCCTCAAGTGTTTCACACCATTAAATGCCTGTTTGTGTCCAGGTATACAGAGGTTTCATGGAAAATGCTGCACTGCTTTTTATGATGTGCCATTTTATCCCTTCATTTGTGCAGAGAAGCTGCTTATCATGTATGCATAGCACTTAACACTTTTAGTTACAGTTGTTAGCATCCATTTCCTGTTTCGTTTTTTGACACCCTTATTTCTTGACTTGGTCTTTAATTCAACCTTGCCTCTTTAACATTTCATCTACTTACACATATGCCTTTACTCTTAAATATTGGTGCATGTAATTACAAGAACCCCCCCCACCCGCTGCAAGATCTCCCAACCCCCATTTTCCATAGTCACACATGAAAGTCACAGTCGTGTTAGGAGTCTGTGAGTTTCTGCACTCACACAGTAACTAACAAGTCTTCCTGACAGGTGAGAATCACCCACTGAAGCACACTCTCTCCACTCTATAATCACATCTCCCATTTTGCTCCAAACATATGCACACACTACACACACACACACACACACACACACACACACATGTATACATATATATATATATATATTGCATAGTCTGCAACCTACTGTACAGCCTTCAAATCGTGTCAATGTAATGAGCACAAGGCCAGAGCTGGGTTACAGTCACTGGGAAGCAACGCTGCAGGGCAACACAGACCACTCTGTTGAAGAACAAGGCTTTGGCCAAGCAAACAGAGATGTGAGAGTAAACACGCTCTGGTCCTGCGGCTATTTCACCCTCCTTTTTCCTTTTTCTGTCCTTCCCTCCATCCCTCTCCCGCCACTCGCCTCTCTCCCCACTGCTCTTTAATCCAACAGCAGATGATGCAACAGCAAGCAGCCCTGATGGCAGCAACACAAGGGTCCTACCTGAACCCCATGGCGGCCATTGCTGCCGCACAAATGCAGCAAATGGCAGCTTTCAATGTCAACGGCCTGGTGGCTACTCCCATGACACCATCCTCAGGTATACACACACACACGCACACACACCCACACACACACACACACACACACACACACACACACACACACACACACACACATACACACACACTAACTGGAGCAAGAACAGAGGCACATACAAACACACACATGAAGGGCTGCTTGGACCATTCCTCACTGCTGCCCTGGAACATTTCCATCATTATCAAGAATTATAGAAGCTGAAGTAATGGACTTCCTGTTTTGTTTGCAACATTTATGAAGAAGCAGGGTCCAATTTCATTAAGCAGACTTTGTGAATGTTGAACTGATATAAGCAGAGTCTTGTATTGAATGAGACATGGCGGTAAAAGATGTACAGCATTCCTTGAAACTCATTGGCAGACACATTACAGCCCCTCTCTCTCCCCCCAGCTCTCATTATCTCTCTCTCTCTCTGTCTGTTGTGCTCTCCCTATGCTGTCTCTGTGACAGTGTGTGTTTTCTGGGACAACAGCCAATCCGATGACTTTGGATGCAGAGTCCTTGGCTTATACAATATAAGAGCAAAGATTTGCACGAGATAATCCGGGACCCCGGTCTGAACTATCTTTTTGGCCCTTGTCATGAGGAGCTTTGATGGCTCGACACTAAGTAGGCAGGCGGCCTGAAGGCAGGGTCATTGCAAATGTATTAAATAGAGTGGCTTGACGCTGCACCTGGCATTTGTAATCCACAAGTCCTACATATACCAGGTAATGCTTATCAAACATAATCCTACATGACTTTAATGTCCTTCACCTGGATTAGAAAAATTAGAAAAAGCCACCGGCACAAAAGGGCACTGACAAGGTGCCAGACTTTGAATTTCAGAACAAGAAGGAAAATAGGACCTCAACATACATGAGGATGATATTTCATGGAATGATAAGTAAGCAAAGCAACTATTTAGATACAGCTTTCCAGCGTCAAGACAACTGATTGATTGATTGATTGATTGATTGATTGATAGAATTACATTGTCAGACGTGGTCTGAAATTTGTCTCGCATCACAGCGGCTCCATTTGCGACATAAAAATTAACACAAGATACAAAGATGCAAACATTTGACACAACATTCAAACATCAAACAAACATTCAGAGGCCTTAAACGTGCTTTGATCTGGGATTCAGCCCCACATTCAATTTTAGAAATGAATGGTGAACAAAAGAGTGTTTCAGTCTAACCGTCTTAAAACGTGGGACCCACAATGAGGAAGTATACTCTGAAACATTGGAAACCAGTGGAAAATTAATTGACATCACTCTAGAAATAACCCATTAAATACAGAAGTGGTTCAAAGATTTGATAAGAAAAATAACATCATTCAGATTTTATTTTAATTCAGCATTTACAAAATGATTCTGTTTCTTGAAAGGGAAATTGATTCTAGTTGTTTCCTTCTTCCTTTTTTCTGCCCTTACCTCTATTTTTACGGTGTGTAGCATGTGTAGCGTGCACCCTGCAGTTTCCATAATGACTCTGTATCCATATGCAGGCACCAGCACACCCCCGGGCATCTCTGCCACAGCCGTGCCCAGCCTAGGCGCCCCTATCGGGGTCAACGGATTCAGTGCCCTCCCGCCTCAAAGCAACGGGCAGCCCACCTCCGAGCAAATCTACACTAACGGTATTCATCCATACCCAGGTGAGCTTATAAAGGTTTACATAAAAGAAACATGAGATATGTGTGTAACATCTACTTTTCTTGGACCTCTGACTCTGAGACTTCTGATTTGCTGTAAGGATAGGAATTCATAAATATATGATTATTCGAGTGATTCTCTTGATCTGAAAAAGAGCATCACTGAAATTTGAGTTCAACATGTCAGAAGAGACTAATCAAATTCTATCACATGGTACAGTTTAAAAGTTGACAAGAGTCTTCTTATTACTTGACACTCTCATCGCATCTCTTTCTGATCTGAACTGAAGCGTTTCAGACTCTAGGGTTAATCAACAGTGTCTTTGGCAGATTTCTGAGCAGCCAGCCCCAGTATCATGATGAATCCATCAGTTCATCCATCAGTCCATTATGGTTAATTTGATGTGTCTCAGCCACGTCCTCGGCTTCTTAATGTTCCCCGGGACTGATTCCTGAAGAATTGACAGACACACACTCCCTGTTTCTGCATTATGCAGAGGCAGCTGCAATTGTAATGAACTACAAAGTGGTTTGTTTGGCATGTTGTTAATATTTGATGCAAACATCTGGGGCGAACAGGCTCTATGAGGAACAGAGATTTGACAACCCAAATTTCTCCCACTCCCTGTGTGATCCCCCCCCAATGGGTCTCAATTTCTGTCATGCTCTTTAACATTCTTTCTATATCTCTCTCTCTCCTTGTCTATTCTTTGTCCCCTCTGTCTTTTTTTCTTTCATTCATCTCTGTCTCTCTTTTTGTCTCTCTGCAGCACAGAGTCCAACAGTGACGGACCCTCTCCAACAGGCTTATGCTGGCGTCCAACACTACGCAGGTGATCTGTCTCTCCTACCTCCTCTGCTTTCTCACTCCCTCCATCTGTCCCTTTCCCCTCTCCTCTCTCTCCTGCTCTGTTTGTCACATCAGTAGACACTATGACAGGTATAGAGATAGCCGCACGACCAGCCAATTTCCTCCCGGATTAGACTGCTTTACATTAGGATTGTGAAAGGATTTTCTGTGGACTTTATTATACACCCACACATGAAAAAAAAATCGTAATTCCAAAAGTACACCGAGAGCCGAGGATCTGACCCTGGCATAGCCTGCTACATAAGAGGTGACATAGACCTATCATAACTACTGCTTTCTGCCTGATATCAGCTCTCATTAACACTGTGCAAGTCTCCCTCTCTTTCTTTGTGTGCCTGCCTAGTTGAACTGCACTCCACTCCCCTTTTTTCCGTATTCTTTGTGTGGTGAACCACAGCCGAGCAAGCCGAGCTCCCAGTCGTAATGCAATTTATTTATGCAATGTCTAAAAGGACGCAAAGGAAAAAAAAATGGAATAATGATTTGAGTTTTGTTGTGTCAAATATGAAAATGGAGATGTGAAAAATTCCACTCTGGTTCTCCCTTTGCAACAGCAGCCTACCCTGCCGCCTATGCGCCAATCAGCCAAGCGTTCCCCCAGCAACCAACCATCATTCCCCAGCAACAGAGGGAAGGTAAGAGCGAGCAAACGCGCCCACCCAAGATAAAAGGTGATAATTGCCATGTTCCATTCTAATGTAGCTGTGCTGCTTTGAATTAGCGAGGGAGGGAAAAAGCTGGCTGGGGAAAAAGTGAGAAAAAGGCTCCCCATTTAAAGAGAAGAACATTAGCAGTGAGATGGAAAGTTACTCTGTCATTATTCAAAAACTGCACTAATTCAAACTCGCAGCGTTGGACTGCTTAATCAGTCCATTACAATGTGTTTAAGTGGTTATAAATATTCATCAGATTAATTAGCTGCATGCATAATCATTTATTACCATTCCTGGTGTAGCGTTGGTTCTTATGCCACAGCATCAGATGTAATAAAGTATAGGATATATACTGTGATGGTAAATCACTCTTCTTGACGCCATTCGTCACTCTCTAATATTCATCTATATGATTGTATGAGACAGCGCAGAGTGGCATGAATATTCATTGTAGGAACTCTGAAACTTAGTGTTTTCAGCATTGCCTAAAGGAAGAGATTGTGTTCATGTTTTTTTTGGGGTTTTTTTGCTGTAGTTCGAGTGCATGACGGGGTCACAGCAAAGCAATGAATCGAAAATAAAATGGTACAGATAGACACCAACATATTTCCACGACATGCAGGCATAATTTTTCATCGCAGGAAAAGAACACAGTTATTAAGGACATCCATCTGACTCTGCTACCTTGGAACATTTTAATCTTTGGCAAGAATTATAAGTCATGGTAACACACACACACACACACACACACACACACACATGCACACGCACACGCACACACACACACACACACACACACGCACACGCACACGCACACGCACACACACACACACACACACACAGACCCAGCCACACAAATGCTCAAATTCAGACACACACAAACACACCGAGCTATTCTTGGTTATGCCAGTGGCCTGTCTGAGTTGTGGGCTCCTCTGGGTTTTGGCTGCTTTCCCAGCCTGTCTCAGTCCACTGCCACAGTCTGCAGCCCTGCCATTTAACAAGAGACACCTAAACCGGAATTCACAGCCACAGTCGAGCCTCAGCTTCAACCTCCCTCTGAGAGCTAACAATCTCCACAACACATTCTCAAAGTCTGTCTGTGTATGTGTGGTTGAAGCTGAAAAAACAAGTCACACCCAAAAACACATTTTAAACCAGATAAAGTCCTACTTTAGTCTGTAGAATATGTCACAGACATGAGATTTTCTTGTGTGTTAGCTCAAGTTCGATGTCAACTTGACCAAATCTCTCCCTGTTAACATTAACATGACCCAGTAGGGAGCATTTATTTAAATGCATCATGGGCAACTTACTATCCAGCGTCTTCCAAGGTTAAAATGAAAAGTCAAAAAATAGCCATATCAGATTCTTCTGTCTTATTGAAACCTTTTCCTTCAATACCCACGGTGTAACTCTTTCCACACTAAGGTTGGCGTTTCCAGTGTGTTACGCTAATAGCGACAAATATAGCCTGAAGACATTGGCCTCAAGCAGAGGTAAATAAATGAGTTCCAAAGGTTTGTAGCTCACTTCATTTTAACACCACACCCCAAGAAATCTATGAAGGTTTTAGTCAATGCTGAAAGTGACATAACTAAAAGCAACGCATCAGATTTTAATACACAAATGTTCCAATCTTGTAACTCTGCTGAAGATTTGTAAACAGACTTTGGTGTGTTAAATCATTGAAGTTTCTGTTTCAAAATGTACAAAATATTACATTTTGCACATCTGGAAATTCATTTTTTTACCCTAAAGTCATTTATATCAGCAGCCATGGATGTGTCATTAGAACAAATCAGACAGAACAACTTGTCATCATGCACTTTAACTTTTTGCAATTTGGCTCTTTATATTTTAGCACTTTATGAACATGGATAGAATATGATACATGCAATTTAAGAATGGACATATAAAACATACGTTTGGTAGCATGTTTTCAACTAATGACATTGACAGTTAAAAGTCTTCATTGCTCATTTTCTTTGAATATTTTGTCTGTTCACCTGAATGGAGGGCAGGTCCTGTTCTACAACTGCTGCTATCCTGCAGTGGCTGGATAAAAACCTAAATATCTTATAGTCTTACATCTACAAGTGTGCTTGCACTTTTATCTAATGCAACCACTAAAAAAATCAAGTGTCATGCTTTTGGAGGAGCATGTTGCCTTAACCATTCTTACACAACGACCTGTCTTTCATTTAAACAAACCTGTTCTGTTCAAGGCATTAATTCTCTGAGACCTAAACTTAAACAGACATAAAAGAGATTCAACCTTTAACTGTTAGAAGAAGAAAAATCTCTTTTCTGTCAACCTGTGTGTGTGTGTTTGTGTGTGTATGTGTGTCCTCTATCTCTCCCAGGCATAGCAGCACTACAGCCAGCCACCACTGCAGCTCTCTTATCAGCCTTCTCACAAGCCCAGGTCTCATCTCGTCATGCTATCACCCTGAGCAATGAGACAGGAGAGAATGCTAGCCACGCAGTCAGCTGCAAGCATACTGTACTAGAGTCCATCTTGTCTCACTCTTCCTCTATCTTTCGCTCTCTCTCTGTCCATGCTTCACTCTCTCTGTCTCTCTCCAGTTCATTCCTTCCTTTATCCTGATTGGCCTGTACAATATGTGGCAGCTGGGTGGATGAGTGCAGAGTGAGGGAGAGAGAGTGGAAGACAGTCCTACTGTCACACAGTAATTGGGACAAAACTTGGCTTTGCCTTCTCCTCCTCCTATTCTCTGTATCTCAGAGTTTCTCTCTCCTAACCATCTTAATCTTTATCTTTCAATCAACCTCTGTGCTTCTTCTTTTTCCTCCTGCTGTCTCTGTTTTTATCTCTGGCTGTTTCTCTCTTTTACCTCTATCTCTGCTTCTTTGTGGCTCTTTACATGTGCACTGCTATTGCCAGTATATTTTTCTGAGACAACAGTAAAATCTGTGAGTAAAAAAGTGCGTGATATAAACACGAAAGGCGACACCTATCTTTGTGTTTATTGTGAAAAATTGGGTTCTTTGGAGGATTCAAATGGAAAGAACTTGTGACCTTATTGAAAAAAAAATGTGTTAGTTAACTCATGTCACCATAAGTAGGTTCAACACAAATAGTTGTGCCACAGTGGGCTGAGTAAGAGCTTGGTGTTTACATGGTGCCTGGGTCCCTGGGATTATTGTCTTTTATTGTTATATTGAGTCATTTTTCCACCTGTGTTATTGTGGCTCTCTACCTCTCTCTCACACTGGGCATCCCCTGCTTATGCTCCTGTGCAATCATCCTGTTGTCTTCCTCTCATCACCAGGGCCAGAAGGTTGCAACCTGTTTATTTATCACCTGCCCCAGGAGTTTGGAGACGCGGAGCTCATGCAAATGTTCCTGCCTTTTGGCAACGTCATCTCTGCCAAAGTCTTTGTGGACCGAGCCACCAATCAAAGCAAATGTTTTGGTGAGTCAAAAAAAAAAAAGAAATCCACTGAAATAAATGGGGAAAAATTGCACATGTGCTCATGTGACTATCATTGTACTCAGCCTTTAAGGGAATGTTTTTAGCTGTCTGACTTGGACGTCTGTTACCTGACATATTCATTTTGATTTGCTTTCTATATTATAGTCAGTTTGCAGTTAGCATCAACATGTAACGTTAGTTGTAACGTTACCCATATTTGTTCTCAAAGCTATTGATGCAATGCTTAACTGCGACTCCTTAGATTGGCTTATGCCATATTATCGCAAAGTCAAACTCCCTTCACCGGCCTGCTGACACTAAACTCCTGTAGCCAACAGAAACTTTTGATAAATAATATTTGGCCCGAGTGCAAGAAAAGGGCTGCAAAAAGCTACATAGCTGCAAAATGACTTTTTATTGTGATTGGATTGAAGAGTTGTTTGTGTATATTATGTAGAAATATCTTTGCATAAACTCGCCTAGTTCAAACCAAATATCAGAAAAGTTAACAGAAAATCAAACAACAACGTTTATACTTTTAGATGCTAATCATTGTGTTTTTACAACCAGAAGGTTTTGTGGGTTACCATTCAAATCATACAGGCTGAGCAATGCACATGTTTTTATCACACTTTTCCTATTAGCTCTGTATCTTTCTCAGCTCCCTTTACGCAAGCTAAGCATTTCCCCAGAACCCCCCAGTCCTCCAGCTGGGCACCCAAGCAGCGTTCAAACTCCCATTCCCCTTCTCTTCTCTCACCTCACACACAGCAAACCAGTTCATCAGGGTGGAGGCAGTGCAGGTGGGATCCATGGGCTTAAAGAGATAATAATAGACTGGTGTGGGCCTTGCTGTTGATTCAGTTGGACAGCAGCACCCAGGAGACAGGCAGGCAGAGAGAAAGAGACTCCCAGCATTGGCTTTCTTTCACCTTCCCTTCACCATGGCATGTCTATGAGGCTTTCTCTTCCTCTCTGCCATCGTCTATCTCACTCTGTCCATCTCAGGACGGACTCCCTCCCGTTTGTGTGCTCTCCTCTAAACATATGCCTCTTGCTATCACTATCCGTCAGTCAACAAAGGGGAAGGACAAAGTGGCGGTGACCCCATCAGTCACACTGGCTTACTTTTCCAGGCTTGTAATTAAGATATCAGCTGAAATACTTAACCCATGATTCTTTTGTTTTTTTTTTTTTTTTTTTAACTAATTTCTCCATCCTTTTTATAGCAGAAGCCCCAAGGCTCTTTTTGTAAGACGTTAACAAATTAGTAACAAGATACTGCGCATTAAGGGGGGATAAGTTATTAGGCTCCCAAGAACTTGGACCGCTTCATCTTAAAACGTGTGAGTTAAGCCTTGATGTTGTGCTTAATGGGAACAGTAGGATCATGGACTTGTAGGAATATTTGCATGAGATTCATACAGTTAAATGTATGATGTCACGGCCGGCTCATAAACCCATGTCAAAAAAACTGGAGGAGACAAGTAGTACACTCAACAATACCCATTTATTGACAGCACACTAATCAGAATTAGACGGAGCATTAAGGAAACGCCTCTCTCCTCAAACTCCTTCTCCATGTCTTCCCGAGTAGAGTGAAGTGGCAGCTTATATCCTGACTGTGAGCACCAGGCCCAGGTGCTAATTCAGACTGATGACAGCCACACCTACTGATTACACCAACCTGCAACACAAGAAAAGAGGAGGCAGAACCTAACAGGCCACAGGGCCGTCACAATGAAGAATCACGTGTACCTGAAAGAATACTTGTGTTGGCCTTCTAGTGCAAACATTTTTATTTATTCTTCAATATTTAAGTCAAGATGAAAGCAAGTGACATGTCTAAAGTGCTGAAGATAACGAAGACTCCGTTATAGGACATTATAACGTCATTATTGGCGTCTGTTACATACAATCAGCAGAAGTTTTTGTTAAGATCAAGTTAACCAAGATTTTAATTTTCCTACTATACTTTGAATGGCAAAAAATTATATTCGTATTAAGATATTTAACCTTGTTCTTTTTATGTCTGTTTGTACTACTCTTCATTGTGTTTTCAAATGTTTCATATTACAGTTAATTAATAGGTTACAGTAAGTGTGTGAGCTATGAGGTAAATATTTCCGATATTTTAAAAGTGAAATACTCAGAGATTTGCTTGCCAAGGTAGAACCTTCTGAGTTTTAACTGGAAAATCTGTGCTTACATGGCCTGATATCTCTGCAGCACAGGTGAACTACATTTTGAAGAGATAATCAGACATCACTCTTTAGGATGGAGTGTTTACGGAGACTCTGGGAAACTTGAATGAGATGAAAAAGGTCACTGGAGGAGCACTCGGAGCATGTTCTTATAAAAGATGTATTCTGGAGAGAGATTACGAGTATATATCTTGAGGGATACATCACTGTTGGCTCAGATGGGTGCCTGTTTAGTTTAATAGGATTATTTGCACTGTGGGGAAATGGGTGAATGTGAGAAATGGCATATTAAACATTTTTGCAAATGACATTGAATTGTTTGAAAGCATGTGTAAGTATTTCACCTTTAAGGAAATTTAAAAAGTAAGAGAACAGAACATAAGTGACACAGGTGTCGAAAAAGCATGTGATAGTGCACCACAACTGTTACAGATGAGAAGCTATATGGCTGTGTTTCATTTAACCTAGGACTCTATGGATACAACATTAGTCTTAATCCTCTGTATTTAGTCGCTCAATATTGACTTTTTATAAGTGATCAAAGCTTACCTTGTTAAGTGGAATTAGCTGGATTTAGCTTGAAAATGAATTTCCGAAGGTCTTCTGAGAGCGGAATGACACACTCAGAGACTCACACACGCACACCTTTAAAAGGAAACCCACTGCTTTTAAGATATGATAGGAAAAGCATACACCAGGAGATGCAATTTACCTAAAGGGCTTCTGAAAAAAAAGAAAAGAGTATGCCTTTTTCTGAAGTCGTTTCATTATAATTTTTTTCTTATTTCCCTTTCAAGTCTAGGAATTAAGAATCAGAAATACTTTATTAATCCCAGAGGGAAATTCAGTCGTTACAGTTTCTCCAAAATATACAATATAGCAGTAGAAATATAGTAATAAAAACATTTACAGACATATTTACTTCAACACATGAGGCCATTTCCTCAACTGATTCAGAGATTTCTTTAAGAATTGATCTTGGAAATTCCTGGGAGAAAACAGACTCTATGTCTGTGTCCATAGGCAAACAGTGAGAGCACTGAGACTAAGTTTAAGTTTCAATTCTGGGAGTGAGTTCCCACCCACTGATCTGTGATTGGTCTGTAGCTTCAGTGGTCGAAAATATGAGGAACTAGTGTTGTAGTTTCACACCGCTAACCGCAACAGCTTCCAGTGACGCAAAAATCGTCATTTTGCGTCACTGGAAGCTTCTTTTCAGACTCAGAAATACAAAGATTTCCCATCTCAGGGGAAAATGAGGGCGAGATGCACGACCATTCTAAAATACGACCAGGTTTCTAATAATACAAAGCTCAATGCAAATGGGTGAAGTATCCCTTTAAGTTGACCACCATGAGGTTACCTACTTTATTTAATTTAACCTTTAACTGAAGAGGAAAAAATACATCATATCACAAGAGTTTTACATTGGTGTCCTGGCAAATACAGCTGAATGAAAAGCTTAACAAACAAAGAAGAGACTAAAACAAGCAGACATAACTTCAAACATTTTTAATTAAAATGATCCTGTTTAAGGCAAGCAGCAGACTCCAGTGTTGAAAAATGAATCTGATGCTGAAGTGCAAAATCCTGCAGTTCATCAAGTTTAGACTTAAGGGTTGGCTGCAGAAGCACCGGATGTCACATACACACCCATTCACACTTCCAGCATGGCGACCGCCATCGACAGCCAGTAACAGATGGGGGACATCAGTCTGGACTTTGGTTAAGTTGAATTTAGGAGATAGTAGACAACATAAATAAATAAGCAGTTCATGTAGTATGGCTTCTTGTATTTTATATGCAAGTTGTATTTGAAAGAGAAACAAACCTTTTATACCTCTCCAAACTACAGCCGCGACTAAATACCAAACAACATTGTAGCACTTTCCCCACAAAGAAACTCTTTTAAGGGCAATGTGAAAGTTTACTACTGCATTCTCAGCTGTAAAACAAAGTCCTCCAGTTGTATTTCCCCACTGTCACTTGATAATGTTTGGAACTTTGTGTGCATTTTTATTAAAAATGCATAACGTTATAGTCAGAAGAGGCGTTTTGCTGAAAAGGACGACTGCAGTGAGAGCCATACATCAAACACTAGTAGTGTTCGGGGTATTCAGTCGCACAGCACCGCACACTCAAAACCACACGTTCAGCGCTGCATCAAAGAAATGAAACATCAGCCGGTTACTTTGTCTCGACAAAACAGCTGAAACTGGAAACTTGTGCAAATGTCTATTTCTGCTTTTAAATTATTTTAATGTATATAGAGTTTGTCCTCTGCTTCCGTACTCTGACCCTAGAATCATATCAGCATTTTGCAACTGGGGTTGTGATTGTGAGGTATGGTGTGTGTGTGTGTGTGTGTGTGTGTGTGTGTGTGTGTGTGTGTGTGTGTGTGTGTGTGTGTGTGTGTGTGTGTGGGGGGGATCACTGCCAACTGACAGGCCCTTTCCTGCTCAGTTTGTTTAAAGGGTTTGTAAAAGCAGCAGCCTTATCTCACCCGCACTGACAAAAGCCTGCCCTCTCCCCCCAAATTAAATTGGACCCATAGCGGTGTGATCAAATCAGCTGGCAGGCGGAAAATTCGGGCCGTCAATCACGGAGGTGTCTGATAAGAGCAGGCAAGGAGTCCCAGTGTGGAAAGCTTTGGGCTCATTCCGCCTCGACACCCTGGTGATAACTCAGAGCAGCGGGCGCCTCTGTCCTACACACCTTGCTGCTAGCATCTCATTTCGACCCCCACGACCTTTAGTCCGTTCTCAGATACAAGCTCAGTCTCTCACACACACACACACACACACACACACACACACACATACACACGGAGCCCTGTCACTCTAAGATGGCTCAGGTAACATTTACACATGCTGCTCTGCTTTCAGAAATACACACACAGGATGAAACTCCTTCCTCTCTCTAATCTTCCCACACCTTTTCATGTTTTTTTGTTCTCTCTTCAAGTAAAACTCGTGCTTTCTAATAGTCCTTCCCCATTTGATTTTTAATATCTGTGTTATTAGCCTTTGTGGTGGTTTATGTAATCTCTTTAATTCAAAGATTTTCAATTAATATGCTGAAAAGAGAAAACAAAGACCTATTGTTGTGTCATTGTTGAGAGTTAAAAAGGGTCTTCTTCTCCCCTCTTTCATCTTTCCCGTCTGTTCTCCCTGTCTCTCTCTCTTCTTCCCGTTTCTCTCTCATCTCTACCCATTCTTCTCCCTCCCTCTGTTGTTCCTTTTATTCCTTTATTCCATTTTTCTCTGCCTCCATCTCTTTCTCTTTCTCCCTCTCGTTGTGTGTTCTCGTCTCAGGCTTCGTGAGTTTTGATAACCCGTCCAGCGCTCAAGCCGCCATCCAGGCAATGAACGGCTTTCAGATTGGCATGAAGAGGCTGAAGGTGCAGCTAAAGCGGCCAAAGGATGCCAACAGACCTTACTGACTCGTCTGCCGTCTGTACCCAGGTATAGTAGTGGCCATACAGTGCCATGCCATGTCAGTTTTAAACCACAGTGCCCACTTTACTGGGACAATTTAGTTCATGTTGTTGACAGTATAGTTGATTATTTGTGAGATTGCAACCTTAAATCTCTCATGAGAACATGTTAAACAATATTTAAAAAACTTAAATCTATAATGTTTTTTCTGAGATAGTTTTCCCTTTTATGAAGGAACTGTAAGTTTCAAAACTTAAAACATGTAAATGAATGAGAGTTGCGTTTAACCAATATTAACAGAAAACTCAAAAAAAATCAAGTACATGGGAATTTCATAAGCATTTTGTTCATTTTTTATGTAAAACTTAAATTCATAAAATAACTTTTTTTTTTCATTTCCAAGGTGCTCAGTGTAGGCTGGGAACAGCACAGAGGAAATTTTAAAAAATTGCATTAAAAGTATTCTGCTAAAATTTACAAAATCATCTGAAGACTGATAAAACTAAAAACACGCCCAGTTAAGTATAAAATGTTATCAGCTAGAGAATGAAGTGAAACTCTTTCTCTGTAGTCATAATCTGACTTTGTCTCCCTGAGCCCTGATGTGACATTACATTTCCTCCTTCTCAGGTCAATGTGTTTCTTTTTAACATATTACTTGTGAACGTGTTGGGGCGCTATATTTTCTCGATTTAACCGTGCCACCTCACAGATTCTGCCTCTGCAGATTTCTGTCAGGTTGCACCGCTCCTCTGAAATGTTTTTTTTGCTTTTCTGAATTCTGCGGTTTGAGATCTTATTTGTACCTGCAGGATACTCCACTGCAAATTGATGACATCATCAATACCTAGCTGAGCATAATCACCCGTCCCCTGATGGAGGCATTGAGAATTGATGCAATTTGTTAAGCTACAAATTTATATAAAAAATACTGTTAGTTGTAATATCTTTATTAAAATAACACTTCTGTCAGCTGCTGGGCAAAATTCAGAGGTCATTCCTGTTGAACCTTCACTTGCAGAAAGAGAGTAAATGTATAGTTTTTCACAGATCGATAAGCACTTAGGGTAAATGACGTGTTTTTCAAAGAAAAGTCAGTGCTGACAAAAATAAATAAACACAAATGTGCTTAATGGAAAAGCACTTAGTCACTCTTCCAACTACAGTGGCTTGTATAATGACAGAGAACCAGTAAGCACCATTTGGTTAAGTTCAAGTGATGCTTCACAAATGTGTTCAAGCTAAGCAGTCATTGTCCATATTCATATTCTGTCATGCTTTGTTTGCAGATTTTTCATAAATGGCACAAAAATAATTAAATAACATAGTTATATCATTTGAATGTGATTATACTGTTCTGAACCAACATGAGGACAACCATTCTTTGTCAATATCTGTCATATCTTGATTTTAATCAATTGTAACCTTAAGCAGCAATTATTTGAATGCTTATAAATCCAGCATGCAAAAAAAGAATAATTACAGAGCTATTTTCATATTGTTAATAATGAATACTTTAAACAACAAATAAACTGCCAATGTATATATGAGTATTCATGTTGGAGAAAGTTGGTTAAGTGTTCAATAATGCTTATGCATAATGCATCGTTAACTTAATAGTTAACAAGTGAAGCCTATCCAGCATGGACTAGTAGAGAACAACACATGCCAACATTTATCTGCTGTTTTTATGGAGTCTGTACTTAACAAAGTTAAGCAAACAAGCAATCTTTCAAATGCATGGTAGCTTATGTGTGCTGTTTATATTTGTGTACGTCTGCCACCACATATATTCAATAGCCAACAGTTCCTTGTTTTTGCTTTTAAAATATCAGCCCTTCCATAAAAAACAATAAAAAGATGGTTTAGTTAAAGTGGCGCCATCCTTCAATAACAGCTCGTTTCACAGTGTCAGCCTTGATTCAAAGAATCATCTCCCATCTGTTACAAAGTGCAGCTGCCAGTGCAAAATAATATAGATGTGCGCTCTTCCTCGCCCAATTGGCTTGGCAACTTTTCATTACAATAACATAAGCCTGGATTATATTACTCCACAAATAAAAGCAGAGTAATACCATTTGTTTGTTTTAGAATTGACTCCTTAAAAGCCACAAGATGACATTAATGGAAGGTGAGGTGCAGTACGGCTGATAGGTGTTCCTTTTATCCCTTTCGTGATAGCATTTGAATAGAGCTGTGTCCTGCTAATTGAAGAGAGAGGCTTTCAAAGCAGACACCCTGAGAAAGAGGATGAGGTGGGGGTGGAGGGGGTTTTTATTGAGCACATCAATGAGGGACAAATGGAAAATATCCTGCAACAGTACTGAAGAGTATACAACAGTTATTGAGAGGTACTGAGAATATCTCGAAGCAGAGCCATTTCCCACAATAACATTCTGTCACTTCTTCAGTATGATTGTGAGTGTGTGTGTGTGTGTGTGTTTTGTGTTGTTTTTACCCCTTCTGGTTCAATCCATCTCTGTGTTTTTCTTTCGCTATTACACCACTTCTGTTGTTGAGTTAAGGGAAACCAATAGACCAAAACCAATAGCAATCCCATGAAAACATTAGAGGAAATAACACAAGTGGGGCCTTGAAGCCTGGTTTATGGATTCTTGACAAACTATGAGGAGTTCAAGAACGTAGTTGCATTTAAAGAATATAACTAATCAATTTTGGATGTTTTTTTTAAATACCTTGTACTGCTGCGGACCATAAACCATTGAATTTCTACATTAAACTACTTTATAAGAATGAGAAAACTTTGTTGAAACTTGAATTATGATATTTTCCTGTGTGTCTTCAATATGTTGATAACTTCAGAGTCCCCCTTCTTTTGACGATTTTGCTTTGAAGTTGAATTAAAAACACGATCAGACAGAATTCTCTCCTGCTGGTCTCAGGAGCCCTGCTAGTGGAAATTGCGTTCTGTGTCTTAAAGATAAACATAATGCAAAAAAGCTGAAGCACTCACTGTATGGCCACCCATATAGCAGACAACACGAGGCAAATCCAATTACTGTAGACAGGACAAGTTTCTGAAATATGCATTCCTGCCTTAAGGGTTATCTGTGAGAATACAAAAACATCAATTCAACCTTTTAACCTGCAAATGTTGTCAGCCTGAGAGGATTTCACGACGACGCAGGCATAAGAAGGGCCTTTTTTCGTGCTTTGTTGATTGTTTGTTGTGCTATTTCTGTTTTACTTGTCATTTCTGGGTTTTTTTCCCCAGTTTTTATGGTAATAAGCATAATAACCTCATTTGATTTGTCAGGCAAAATAAGTGAGAGTGTGGAACAAATATGTAAAGGTTGCTTTGAATACTGACTTAAGGAAAAAGGAAATCCCATTCTTTCTTTCCTTCTTTTGCACCCCCACCACCACCAACCTGGCAACCTGACACGGCCAATCACAGTATGAGGTGGCCTATTCTCCGCTATAGCCACACCCACCTACCCCCCCAACCACACACCTGTCACAGGGCCAAGTTCCCAGAGCTGTAAGTTGAACCCATGGTGTCATTTTCTTTTGGATGACGTCATGTGGTGGGACTGTGACTGCGTTGCATGACGTGGCGTTGAGTGATATCTCTGAATTCTATCTCTTCATACTCTGCCCTCCTTTATATTTTTAAATATACTCTATATTGTATATTGGCAGTTTGTGGAGTGCAGTAAAACAACACCTTTCTTGGCTGGTACTTGTTGTACATAATGCTGACTCGTTGGTGGATTATAACTGGAAGTGTCTTAAACCCTTTGTGCTATTGTACCGTGTGCCCTTGTGTTGTTTTATTCTCTCGTGTAAAGCTGTACTGTATTTTATATTTCTCTTCTTCACATTCACATCAACACTTTTTTTTTAGCAAACTATGATTTCTAATGAAAAGCCTAAATCTTTGCGAAAAAGGACCTCCCCCCCCCCCCCCAAAAAAAATCGACAGCTGTTTAGTGGAGAGATGGCCGAGATGACCCCGTGTTTGCGTAGCCAATTAAATCTCCAGCGTTCATGCAGAGAGCACAGGCAAATGTTGACACTCCACTTCTCCCCTGATTCCATCTGCACAGGGAGTACTTCTCCAAGATTGTTTTGTTTGCCTAACATGAGAATCACTTCCCATTTATTTATTTATGAGGGTGCAAACCAATTACACCATGGTAGCAGAGCTGCAGGCAGCGATGTAGACCCACATGCCCAGAACCTCTCCTCCATGCAGCCATACTTTATGCATAGATGCATATGCAGGATGAAAAGAAATTGAACTAAATACAAATACCGAGGATGCCTTGTTTGTTTAGTATTTGTTTGGTAGGATTGTGCCACTAGATAAATAAGCTTTATAGGTTTATGCTGCTTGCATGTTAAATGATTGTTTCTCTGGCTGTTAAAAGAAAAGGCAGCGAGAAGATTCATGGTGAAAAAAAGTCCTTTCTTTGCTATTGAGTTTGTTTTCTACCCCTCCAGGCCAAACCCTGATAAGAGTTAGGCATTTTCATTGAACTTCTTCCTGCCCTATTCTTTCAGAGGCCCTGCAGGTGGCTCTCCCTCCTGAAGTCTATCCAATGAACTCAGGGGGAGTCTAGCAATGCAAGCCATAGAGGGATAAGGTCTTTCTAGCATGAAATATGTCTCTAAACTACCAGGTGTCCTTTCTGAAACCATCAAAGTGGATGGGAAAGTAATATTGGGACAGACATCTTGAGGGGAAAAAAACAATTCTTCATCATCTGACAAAGTTTGGGGGGAAGTTGTGACGTTTCAAAAGAGCTGTTTACTTGGCACAAAAAAAATCAAGATTTTAAAGCCACTGTGTGTTATTCTACACTGTGTTAGATGTATAAGAGAATCGCTAGTGGCTCATAAAAGAGGGCATCTGTAATCGGGATTCTTAGTGCTCTATGCCGTTAATGGCTTGGCTCACTTTGGCACACATATGAAAGAGGGAAGAATCTTCACCACCACATCGAGAAAGCAGATCTATTATGTGATGGTAACAAGCTCATTTACAGGAATGAAAAGG